GTACACTCCTTGCTTGAGTCCCAGTCGTTAAGTGTGTGGCCTTACTCTCACTTTGGAGGGTATTATGAGTGTGTGCGGCCACCTGATGAAGGTGTGCGGTCGCACTCCTTCATAGAATGAAGAACATGAAGAACATTATGAGTTTGAGGCTTGGATTCAAGTGTTTTACCTCTATGATACGCTAATTGATGGTGTTCCTCACGTTTTGGAGGCCTTCTAGGTGTTCGTGGGTGGTTTTCTAGAGAAAGAAAGTATAGTGAGAGAAAGGATGCAGCCAAAAAGTGAATGGAATAGGGTCCTCCACTTTATATAGGGTGGAGTGTGAGGCTGGAAGGGTTTGCGGTCAGCCGCACACACCTCTCTTAGTGTTTTTTGGCTGGATTTTGTAATGCAACACCCTTTCGTAATCCTTCCTAATGTTCATATCTATGATATATTAAGCTTAAAAAACTAGCGCGAACTCAATTAATTATTAAAAGATGTTAATTTCATGTGAATTATAGATATATGGATCAATTTCATAACATAAAGGTGTCGGGTTGTCACATTCTTCCCCCGTTAAGGAAATTTTGTCCAGAAATTTAGAGTTCAAGTAGTTAAGTTATTACAAATAACTAGGTAAAAAGGTGGGGGTATTTACTCTTCATTTGATCTTCGCGCTCCCAAGTGAACTCCGGTCCTCGTTTGGCATTCCAACGAACCTTCACTATAGGGATGCGGCTTTTTGCCGTTCGCTTAACCTCTCGATCCATAATCTCCACTGGTTCTTCCACAAAATTGAGGCTCTCGTTTATCTCGATCTCATCGATTGGAAGTACGAGAGTCTCGTCGGATAGACACTTTTTCAAGTTTGAAACATGAAATGTAGGGTGTATGTTACTAAGTTCGTGGGGTAGCTTTACTCTGTAGGCCACAGGGCCGATTCTAGCGAGAATCTTGAAAGGCCCTATGTATCTTGGATTTAGCTTCCCACGCTTTCCAAAGCGTATCGTGCCTTTCCAAGGTAATACTTTCAGAAGGACTCGGTCTCCCACCTGGAACTCCAAGGGCTTTCTTCGTTTCTTTGCGTAGCTTTTCTATCGGTCTCTAGCAGCCTTTAATCTTTCACGAATCTGAACGATCTTCTCGATCGTTTCTCGAATGATCTCTGGACCTGTGAGAGTACTGTCAGGTATCCGTCCTTTAGCTAACTGGGTGTCACCCACCTCAGCCCAGCACAGAGGGGATCTGCACTTTCGGCCATAGAGGGCTTCAAATGGGGCTGCCTTGATGCTCGTGTGGTAACTGTTATCGTAAGAAAACTCGACTAAAGGTAAGTGGGTATCCCACGCCTTACCAAAGTCGATCACACAGGCTCGCAGCATATCTTCCTGAGTTTGGATGGTCCTCTCACTTTGTCTGTCGGTTTGCGGATGGTAAGTTGTACCCATGTCCAACCTCGTTCCTAGGGCGTTTTGCAGCGATTGCCAAAATCTTGAAGTGAACCTACTATCTCTATCGGAGATAATAGATATAGGAACACCATGTAGTCGAACAATCTCTTGGATGTAGATTCGTGTAAGCTTTTCCATCTTGAATGTTTATTTGATTGGCAGAAAATGCGGATTTCGTCAGTCGATCAACAATTACCCAAATGGCGTTGTACCCACTCGGAGATTTAGGTAATTTGGTAATGAAATCCATAGAAATCATCTCCTATTTCCACTCAGGTATCTCGGGTTGTTGGAGCAGCCCCGAGGGTTTTTGATATTTGATCTTTACTTTGGCACACGTCAGACACTTACTCACGAAGGTAGCAATTTCGGCTTTCATGTTCGCCCACCAATATAACTTTTTGAGATCAAGGTACATCTTGTCCGATCCTGGGTGAATGGAGTATTTGGTCTTGTGAGCTTCATTCATGACCACCTCTCTGTAACCACCGAACTTTGGGGTCCAGATCCGATCCATGAAACAATAAACTCCGTCTCCTCGAGTCTCAAAATTCTTATACATTCCTCTCAAAGTTTCATTTGTGACATTTTCTGTTGCGCAGATAAATGAGAATGGATAGTTATTGTCAGTGATTTAACCTTTCGGCCAGAATATTCCTTCCGACTCAAAGAGTCTGCTACTACATTGGCTTTACCCGGGTGATATCGAATTTCGCACTCGTAATCATTGAGTAGTTCGACCCACCGATGTTGTCTCATATTGAGCTCTTTCTGGTTAAGTATGTGTTGGAAGCTTTTGTGTTCGGTGTATATCGTGCTCTTCGTACCGTACAGATAGTGTCTCCAGATCTTCAGAGCGAATACAACCGCTCCTAATTTGAGATCGTGCGTGGTATAGTTGACTTCGTGTGTCTTCAGTTGTCTTGAAGCGTAGGCGATGACCTTACCTCGTTGCATCATAACACAACCGAGCCCTTGATTAGATGCATCGCAATAAACCACAAAATCATCTGTTCCTTCAGGAAAGGATAGTATCGGCGCGGTGCATAAGGCTCGTTTCAGAGTTTGGAATGCCTTCTCTTGTTTCTCACCCCAGTCAAAAGTCACACACTTCTGGGTTAATGTTGTACGTGGTTTTGCGATCTGGGAGAAATTCTGAATGAACTTGCGGTAGTAGCCTACGAGACCTAGAAATTGATGAATTTCTGTAGGTGTCTTCGGTGCTGACCAGTTCTCAATAGCTTTAATCTTGGATGGGTCCATGTGGATTCCTTCTTCACTAACCACATGTCCTAGGAACTCTACGTTTCGGATCCAAAATTCGCACTTAGAGAATTTCGCATACAGCTTCTCTTATCGGAGGGTTTCCAGGACGCGTCGTAGATGCTCGCGATGCTCCTCCTCACTTCGAGAGTAAACCAGTATGTCATCAATGAAGACGATGAAAAATCGATCCAAATAAGGACGGAACACTCTATTCATTAAGTCCATGAATACTGCGGGCGCGTTGGTCAGTCCGAAGGGCATTACTACAAATTCATAGTGCTCGTACCAAGTTCGAAAAGCGGTCTTTGGAACATCCTCCTCGAGCACTCGCAACTGATGGTATCCGGACCATAAATCAATCTTGGAGAAGTAAATCACCCCTTGCAGTTGGTCAAAGAGGTCTTCTATACGAGGGAGAGGGTAGCGATTTTTAATTGTCAGTTTGTTGAGTTCCTTATAATCGATGCACATACGGAACGATCCGTCTTTCTTCTTTACGAACAATATCGGCGCTCCCCAAGGTGAGAAACTCGGTCTTATAAAGCCCTAGCTGAGCAGCTCGTTAAGTTGACCGGATAGTTCTTGCATCTCAGCAGGTGCTAGGCAATAGGGCGATTTGGCTACAGTGGTAGCTCCTGGAATTAAGTTGATCCTGAATTCAACTTGACGTTGCGGGGGTAAACCTGGTAGCTCCTCGGGAAAGATGTCGGGAAAGTCGCACACTACGGGAAAGTCTAAGAGATCTTTCGTTTTCCGGCTCGTATCAACAACGTGAGAAAGGAATGTGCGATATTCCTTACGCGGGTACTTTTGGGCTTGAATACTCAAGATAATGCAAAGGTTCGTACTGGGTTTGTCTCCGTAGATTAACATAGTTTCGTTATGCAGCAGATTTAGACGAATAGCCTTGTCGAAGCCCAGGATATCAACGCGATGCAGAATCAACCATTCCATGCCCATAATGACATCGAAACTCTTGATCGACACCGGGATGAGGTCGATTGGGAAAGTATGATTATCTAGTGTGAGAGTGCAACCTATGTAGATTTCGTTAGAGCTCTCTGTCTTCCCATTAGCCATTTCTACGACGAATGTTTCTTTTAGTGGTTGTGAGGATTGTTTAAGTGCTTAATGTTTTGGTTTACGAAACTTCTTTCTGCTCCACTATCGAAGAGGATACAAGCATAAGAGTTATCGAGAAAGAACGTACCCGTGACCATTGTGGGGTCTGCCACCGCTTCATTGTGACCGATAGAAAGTAGTCTTCCTGTTCCTCCCGTATTCTCAGCTTGGCAGTTTCTTTTGAAGTGCCCGACCTCTCCACAGCCATAACAGGCTTGACTCACTCCGGTACTGGGAACTTGACTGATGGGTTTAGGTTGAGATTTGCAAAATCGGATGGTATGGCCCTTCCGATTGCAATTAGTGCAGTGCATTTCACGATAGGGGCCGTGATGATGGAAAGAGCACTTGTTGCACTTGGGTAGGTTTCCCGCAGAGGTTTTGGCTGGTGTAGGGGCAGCTGGAGTGGTGGCAGCATGAATAGCCACCGTCTGTTGGTTTTTGAGGGATCATTGAGTTGACTTTCCCTTCTTCCGGTCCCACTGTTTCATCTTGTTGTCGGATGACGTAGCTGGCGCAGTAGTAACTAGGGATGTTATTCGGTTCGGAATCGAACCAAACTGAACCGAACCGAATAAACCGAAAACCGAATATAGCAAATTGTATGAACCGAAAACTGAACCAAATAAGCAATACGGGTTCGGTTTGGTTCGGTTCGGTTCGAGTATTGTTCGGTTCGTTTTAGTTTCGTCCCGAATAACCCAAATAACATGTGCAAGATGATTAAGGAGTCGAATAACACGAATAACCCGAATAACCCGAATATTTTGTATTACTTTTGAAGCTTATGATTTCATAAGTATATAACCCGAATAACCCGAATAACATGTACAAAATTATTAAGGAGTCGAATAACCCCCAATAACCTGAATATTTTGCATGAATTTTGTAGCTTATGATTTCATAACAAATCTTTTAAAGAAACAAATTAAACACTAAATACTAAACATCCAAAACACCCAAAAATCTATCTATAAGTATATAACCCAAATAACCCAAATAACATGTACAAGATGATTAAGGAGTCGAATAACCCGAATAACCCAAATAAATATTGTATTGTTTATGACTTTTGTAGCTTATGATTTCATAACAAACATTTTAAAGAAACAAATTAAACACTAAAAATTAAACACCCAAAAATCTATCTATAAGTATATAAGTTAAACATTAAACATTCAACACCCAAATTAAAATACGAATCTTAAGTTTTTATCCAATATCCAAAATAAAATTTTTCAAACATAAATTAACTATTCGAGAATATTAATTGGTTGTTTTCCCTTTCCATCTCCGTTCTTATCGCCTCTTCTAAAGCTTTCGCGACCTTATCATCTTTCAAAATTTCATCAATGTTGTCCACAATTTGCTTTCTTGATTTCCATACCCAATATTGAGTGCAAACCAAAGCCTCTACTATATTTGCAGATAAATTTGTTCTATATGGATCCAATATCTGCCCGCTTCGCCACCTCTGACGCCACAGTAGAGATTTGCAGTCCCAAAATATCTATCATCATAAACATAGAAAATGTTAATATATAATTATATAAAAAAGTATACAAAAAATAAAGTTATACCTTTCGCCATATGGGATACAATAGGGTAACGAGATGCATTTTGTTTCCACCAAAGCAGAATATCAAAATCTTTATTGTATTTAACTAACTGCTCATGTAGATATCGTGTCAACTCTGTTTCCATTGATGCTGATGGGTAATCAGTTTGTACTATTAAATCACCCATGAAGTCATTTTCATCATCAATCACAACTACATCTTCATGACCATGTGTTTGATTTTGAGAAGAGCCGGAATTGTCAAACTTTGATTTGTAGAAATAAAAAAAATTCTCAAATCTTTGTTGAAGACCCCGTATTAAGACCTTAGCCTTCAAAATGACTTCCGAGTTGAGCATAGGATCTTTTTGTGGATTCTTCAACTTAATCAACTTCTCAAAAGCTTGTTGAAGAAAATCAAACTTGAACCGTGGATCTAATGTGACCGCAAAATACAAAAAATCATTTAATTTTTCAAGATTGCCCCAATACTTATCGTATTTATCAATCATGTCCTTCCCGATCAAACAAAATTGGGGACTAGCCGCCCATTCCTTAATGTGTTTGTATACATCACATGTTTCTCCAAAAAACCGATGTGCCATCGGTTTTGTTGACGTCGATACTATGTCGGTTTCACCTTGAATTTCTCAAGAAATCCAACCATAGCTCTACAAATGTTGAAATCTTCTTTTGAGGGGGTCAAAACGTCTCGAACAAATGTAGGATCTATTACAATAACGAACACGTTATGACTCTTCAGAGTTGACTAAAAATTTGTAAAAATGCTGAAACAGAAAAACTCAGATTTAATATCCAATGTTTAGAGGCCTATAACTCACTGAATATACAACCAAATAATGTGTATAAATAGTGTAAACTGTAGTTCAAATTGTAAACTACAAGCTGAAAAAAATCGTGCTAATCGGACAAATAACGAACACGTTATGACTCTTGAAAGTTGGCTAAAATGTTGTAAAAATGCTGAAATATAAAATTAAAATAAAAACAATGGAATGCAATATGAAATTACCTTTGACTTCAAACATGCCAAAAACCTTCTCCAACTGCACCGCAATCTTCAATAACTCGTATGTGGAGTTCCATCGAGTTGGGCTATCATTGCACAAAAACTTTTTGGATTCCACATTTAGCTCTTTCATGCATTCTTTGAACCTTTGAATCTGTTGTGTAGAATTCGTAATGTATGTAACGACCTTTTGCATGCACTTGATACTAGATTGATGTTGATCAAACCCATCCCTAAAAATAAGGTTAAAGATGTGGGCCATACACCTTACGTGTAATTGTTTCCCCCCATCGTACAAGTTTGGTAGCTTTTTCATTAGAATTTCGATTGCTTTGTCATTTGCACTAGCATTGTCAACGGTTATGGTCATTACGTTATTGATACCCCACTCTTCAATACAAGTCAACAACGTGCGCCCAATGTCTTCTCCCTTATGACTATCTAGAGATTTAAAGTTGATAATTCTTTTATGCATGACCCAATCTTCATCAATAAAGTGGGTCGTGACCACCATATAGCTCGAACTTTGACATGAGCTTGTCCAACAATCGGTCGTCAAATGCACATTACTTAGGGGATTATTAAAGAACTTAAATAACTTAGCCTTTTCTTCAAGAAAGTAATCGGTAACTCTATTTGAAATTGTGGTTCTACATGGAAAAATTATTTTCTCGTTCAATGCAATGTATACTCAATAAATGATTCGTTCTCTACAAACTAGAACGGTAATTCTCCAACTACAAATAAGGTTAACAAAGCTTTTTTTATTCTTTTCTCATCATGCTTCCAAGTCCCAATGCTATTCTCTTCGTTTTCATTTTTTTGAAATTTAAAGTGGTTTGGTTTTCTAGTTTTTTTTTCTAAATTTTTTGAGTTCATTTTACATATTTCCGTATGTTTAATCATACTAGACGTACCGTTTGCGCCGGATTCGATTTTGAGCAAAGTTCCACATTTTTTGCATTTGCTATGTCTAACTTTGTCAATATGAACTACATCATAATCGTTCCAACAAGCCGCACTTTGGGCATATTTCCTTTTTTTCGGGTTTGTTGCTTGACTTGTTCCTTCAACTTGTGTGTTATCAACAAACACATCTTCATCATCTATCTAAAACATAATAACAAAATAGATTCATCATACATCTAAAGCATAATAGCATTTAAATAAATTCATCAATATGGAATGACACAAGTAAAAGAACATATATGGTTATTTTCATTAAATTCTCTTATACAAGGTTCTCATTCAAGGTCAAAGTCCCCATTGCTTGGACTTACAGAAAAAAAAAGTTAACTATTAATATCACATTGAAAGATTAAGTAGTAGATTAACACATCCAATTTTCGATGAGTAACATATTCGGTTCGGGTTTTTGGACCGAATAACCCCTTATTCAGGTAACCCAGACCGAATAAGCCTTATATAGATACCCGAAAACCGAATCGAATTGCTTATTCGGGTCTAATTCGGTTCGGTTCGGTTCTTGGTTCGGTTTGGGTTTTCGGCCCAATTTCTCATCCCTAGTAGTAACCGTTGTGGTTGTCATGACTAGAGTGCAAGGGGTTTCATGATCAATCAACCTGTGGGTGAGCTCTTTTGCGCTGTCAAAGCTTGTAGGATGTGACGATAGAACGTTTCCTTGATACGGGGACACTAAACCCCAGATGTATCGTTCGATTTTCTTGCTCTCAGAAGGGATCATGTTAGGGCACATAGCCACCAAGTCACAGAACCTAGCCGTATAATCCATTATATTTGTCCCCTTCATCTTGAGGTTCCAGAGTTCCTCCTCAAGCTTCTGAACCTCACCTCTAGGGTAGTATTCCTTTCTCAGTAGGTCCTTTAGTGTGTCCCAGCCCATGGCATTAGCTGTTACTAAGGAGAGTGAATTGACATGGCCATTCCACCATGTTAGGGCCCTTTCGGTGAAGGTAGCGGCAGTGAACTTGATTTTGCTCTCTTCGGGGCATGAGCACATTTCAAAAACAACCTCGGCTCTTTCGATCCACTGGGATAATGCATGAATTCCTCCAGTCCTATTGAAGAAGGTTGGTTTGCAGTTCATAAAACCCTTATAAGTGCATCCCTGTGCCCGTAGATGTTCTTCATCATGTCTAGAATTTCTACCCATTCCAGTGCCACTTGCATCACCAGAATTTATTTGGGCTAGAGCTGCCGTCACTGCTACAGTTACAGTCGTTTGAAATATTACTGGATCAAACTGTGGAGGGGGTGGTGGTGGAGGTGTTTGAGCCGTAGGTCTGCCTCTGTTTGGGCGCTTACGGGGAGGCATCTCTTGCTGAAAATTTTGCATAGATAATGATAATAGTGAGAAACAATGGGGAGTATGATGAGAGTGTTTTATGAATTAAACCACCATACACAAGTTGTCAGACATGGTTATATACTAAGCAGGGAGACATAAGAGTATAGACTTTTCCCAATATGATAGATATCTTTTAATATTAATGGTATTACTAATGTAAATAAGTCTTGGAAAAATGGCCTAACGGTAGGCCTTACATCAAACCATGAGAAGAAAAATATTTGACAGTCTAGATGGCTACATAGCATACTAAAAGATAAGAATATCACAGAGACAAATGTTCCATTCAAAAGTAGATGTTAGAGACTATTCCTATGTTAAAAGAAAAGATGTGCTAGTCATTTTTCATTGGCATGTTCCAGGCGGCTGGTGCGAAGGGAGTGCCTTCCTCCATTTGTATCAACCTCCACGATGCGCTGGAGAGCAGCCATGCCCTGAATTTCGTTGTGGGCAACTCTTCGGACCAGAATGGGTAAAACCCTGTCCGCCGTTCCTCCTTCACTTGTATTGTAGAACCTTCGATCTCTATTGAAGGGCATTGGTTGGTTTTGCTCTTCTCCCCATGTATCAATGCATTCCACCCACGTAGGCATAGGGCCGTGGAAGGCCTGCAGAGGGTTAGGGTTCGGGATCGGGGCCGCAGGGGGTAGGTTGTTGACTTCGGGATCGGATTTTGACCCATCCAAGAAACCTTATGCTTGGTGGTCATCCAAAGGGATCTGATGTTCCTCATCAGGGTCTTCATCGAGCCACCCCGCATTGTCGTGATTTGGGAAGTATGGGTCACCATGATGAAATCTGGCCATGGCATCTATGCGAGAAAAGGGGAAGAATAGTTAATATACGTACTAATCTAAGATACTTATAAGGAAATCATTATTAGCTATACCAATTGTCACAACCTGAAACTTCTAACCATGTAATTGATTTGTGTTTCAACACTAAAACTTGAGTTCATTAACCTTTGTTACATCTTGTGGTTCCATATGGGTCCTCTAGACTTAGTATAACCTAAATATAAGTCCTAGGAAGGGTTAGAAAGTGCTTTAGTATCACAAAATCGGGCCAAATACACCAAATAAGGTGTGTGCGGCCACACACCTGTGTGTACGGCCGCACACCCAACCGCACTCACCCTCAACCTCACACTCAATCCCTTATATGGATGGGTACCCCTTCATTCATTCATTTAGAGGTTTCTCTTCCCTCTCTCTACTTTCTCTCATTAAAATCATCAACCAAGAACACTTGGAAGGATTCATAATTGTGATCTACTCCATCTTCAAGCTAAGTATAGTGGTAAACACTTGAATCCCAAGCTTAAAACTCATCATGTTCATCATGTTCATCATCCCTTGAAGGTGTACGGCCGCACACCTTCACATGGGAGCAACATACATTCAAATCTCCCAAGTGTGAAGAGCAAACACTTCAAAATCATCATATGGTCTCAAATGAGTAGTGTACGGCCGCACACACACTCTGTACGGTCGCACACACTTCTGTGCTGCCTCACACACACTCCTGGCCGCACTCCCCAGCCGCACACTCATTTTCAAGGCCATACACCCACTCTAATGCCCATATTTGGCCCTAAACTTGCATAAATCATTAAGTATGGATTCTAGGGCACTTATTCTTAGTAATTCCAATCCCTAAGGATGTTTTCCCATCATGTTTAGTCATGAAACACCTTAGTTCTAACTCATTTATGTGTCGTCACATGAATAATAGGGGCCATAGGCGTTCAGGGCATCCGTTGACACTCAAACCCTACACTAAGCGGTGAGTTCATACCGCTACTCTTTTCGACGTTTTTCACTGTTTTCTGGGGGAATACAAGCAAAGTACATGGAATACTTGTACTTTAAACTTGTTTTTACATGTGTTGCGTTCCATAATTCATATGCTTTTAACACTGATAATCATAGCAGATAACAGTTTGAACTCGCAGAAAACACTATCGTATTATTTGTGAAAAACATTATAACATTTTGTATTTTATATTTTCACAAATGGTTTTCCACATTATATCAGTTAAAAGCAGAACCTTTGAACTTGACACATGAAACCTAGTATAAATTTTTGTCCTCGGTAACACTCCACAGAGATACGCGAGCGGAGGATCATCGTTTGCATCAGTATCTTTCTGTATTATTACTAGTAAATTTGTTATTCCTAGAAATTGGAGACAAGTCCTCGGTAACACTCCACATGGATACATGAGTGGAGGACCGCCCCCGTAATCAGAATCTCCTGGAGGGAGAACGTCGCTTGAGTGTATACATCTATACGGGGCTGACTACCCCACACCTGGCTGCTAGCTACAGCCGAACCGAAAGGTTCAAGGGTGTCGAAAGTCATAAGGTGATGTGGACTACTTATTGTCATATCTAGTCTATCGTATGGTTATGGAACTCGCAATTTGGATAACAGAGATTTATAAAATAGTAATAATGGATTAAGTAACCAGTTTACTTGGAATATGTTAGTTTTATAAACGTGTTAAAACTAATACATTTTCATAATACATCTTTTACATTACATTTCGGGTTGGTAAACTAACACGTACATTACAAGGATAACCGGGTTTTCAGTATACACCTTTCATATTAGGAAAATATGGGATTTTCCTGGGATCACAGTCGAACATAACCAAAACAGTGTAACCTAACAGTTAACCAAACATTACTTTGAAGAAAAAATGGGATTTTCTTGGGTCGTAACATTTTCAGAAACGAAAAAGGAAACTCGTACATTTTCACAAAACATAACCGCTTATGAACTCACCAGCGTTATGCTGATTTTCAAACTGCATGGATTCTGATGTGTGCATTAGACAGGTACCCGATGGTTCCTTTTTGGCAAAGACGGAGTGTGTTGAAGATTTGTCTTACTTTTGTTCATATATACTATGTATCACTCCTGTACAACTTTACTTTCAAACAAATGTAAATCATTAAATATGTAATGTAATGGTTGTTTACTTTACTTACTATGTGCATTGGATTCGATACTCAACGTGGAGTCAACCCTGGAAATGTTTCCGCCTTCGGTTTTTGGGGTGTGAGAGATTGGTATCAGAGCCCTTGTTTATAGTGAATGAAGTATACCAAACCTTACATGGTACAAAATTATAAACACTAAGGGGCCTAAGTGCTCTGTACCAAAAGTATACTTCAAAA